AGTGGTTGACTATTCACTAAAAATCACTTCATGACACTTAGATCCTATACAATTCTCCCATCTGTTTCAGTAAAATCCACATTCTATATTATAAAAAATGGGAATGAAGGTAAGGATGTTCCATTTCCATTTATGAATATCACCTATGATCAGATACATCATTCCCAAGTGATTTGGGGAAATGTGGTTTTAGATGAAAATCTGGTACATTACAAAGACTTCATTTAGGAGTTCACCATCCTTGCCAACTTAAAAATCAGGTCTACTCTACCACTGAGAAATTTACAAAAAAAAAATGAGTCTTAAGGTGATATCATATACATTGCACCCAACTCAGGAATTCTTCTTTCTATATATTCTTGATAGTTGGGAGTTATCATTATCTATCCATACTACTATACCAGGAATACAGAGAGAGTGGTAATAGGATTTGTAAATTCATGTTTCATAAGTATTCTGAAGGAAATTAGAAAAGTTTGAAACTAAAAAAATTGTCTCATAGGAACATAACTATTTGTCATTGATATGTTTAGACATATGCAATGTAATATTTTATGAATGTCTGAAATATATCATGAGGAAAATATCTTAGTGGCTGATTGTAGAAATAGAAAACACAATGAAACTAATACTCCTATAAATTACTTTAAATTGCAGCCCCATTAGTACATATTGAAATTGTGTTTGACACTTCTGCCTCTCAAACTAAGATGCCATCATTTCTCAGTATTTATCCCAAGAGTATTCCACAGTCATTAGCCAAAATAGGTCTCTCTCTTAGTATAAATCTCTTGTTTTGTTTCTTTTTCTCTTTTATCTCATAGTTTCTTTCCAGATGATAAGCCTTTATTTACTTGAAAATCAGTAATTAAGTTATTCCTTGTCTTTCTTCTCTCTAGTATCTCTGATACAGATTCTGTCAACTATAAATGTGCATAGGCCCTTTAAACAGCACTCTTGTTTATTCCTTTTATGCCAAAGTTCTACATCTAAATTAGTCCAGATAGATGGGAATCTTTGCTTTCTGAAAGGTCTTCAATCAAACCCACCATTTTCTGGTGGTAACACACCAGGTATTAATAGTTCTCAGTACCAAAAATCCTCCCTCTTTCTTTGCTCTAGATAAAGCTCCTCTCTTCTTATATCCTCACCTCTCCTCTGGTAAAAACTCCTCTTATACATCTCCTATTATACCCTCTCCGCTTATGCCCTAGTTAAAGTTCTTCTCCTCCTAAATATAGAATGACTAAGCATTGTTCCCGGTAAAAATCATCCTTCATGTATTGTGTACATTCTTTATTTTTTCAAAGTAGCTAGATTACCCTCAAAGTATTGCTTTCTCTAAGATAGCCTCACATTAAATCCCACTCTAAGGAAGAAGATCTGAATAGCTTGTTTGAGCCCAGCAATTATTTTAATATTATAAATGATCTTGGTTAATAAACCACCTACGGTCTTTTTCCCTTATATTCTTGTCCAAAATTCATCAACACTCAAACTATCATCTCAATACCAGCCTGCTCTGCCCAGTGTGTTTTTATCAAGTTCAACTATTGTGTTTTCTATGAACTCCATTTCCCTTCTAACCATTGATTTTGCCATAGTGAATTACCCTGCTTTCCTGTAGAGCTGCCACTGAATCTTACTCACCTCTATGTTTCTAAGCCCCATGCCAGTAAAGAGGAGTTAATATATATATTCATTAGTTGAAAATAAAATGAATAGACAGATCTGTGGATCAGAAAGTTTGGAATACAACCACTGGATTAATCAGAAGTGCCTAAAAAACACCACTTGATTGTGTTCAACCCAATCAGGTAATTATATTTAATGGCTTCCAAGGTTGAGCTCTTCCAGATGGTTTTATTTAAAATATGTCCTTCAGCATACAACCTCTGTGTGAAGTCACTGAGTTGAGAGAAAGGATTGGGAGATGTTAATGAATCGGTAACATCCTCATCCTTTAGTGTTGCCCTGGTCCTGCTCTCCTCCCAGGTCCCCGCCTTTTAATCATTAGGCCTTGGAATGCACATTTTTGTAGTCTTCATGGGCAGTATTCAGTTTACCAACACTGAGAAAATCTGTCAATTGGACTTATCCTAAAAGCTTCCTCCTCTCTCTCTTCCAGTGGAGTGAGGTGAGGTGTGTGTGTGTGTGTGTGTGTGTGTGTGTGTGTGTGTGAGAAAGGCATGTGTATTCTGGTTCCCATATGCCACCTGCTGGTCTCCCACATCACTGCTTCCAAAGTGCTCAAGAGTGCCATGTTATGGCTAAAGAAAAGGAAGAAAGGGACTCTACAGCAAAGCATGAAGTGACTTAATAATCTTGCCTAGGTGTCAGCTCATTCTTGATGCATATCAGTAGTGGAGATGAAGAACTGAAGTGGAAAGAGAGCTCTCTCCTAGACCTACAATCTATGATAAGAAATTCTTAGTCCTCAAAGCATTCTTTAGCTATGCAGTCCCCTGAATATCCACAAAATGATGCTTAAAAGAAAGAACATAAGAAAAATGTCTGCACCCATACAATACTAAATATATGATTAAGAACCCAGATAAGGAAAGAAAAGATTATTTCAGTGTTTGGTAAACCAATCCCAGTCTCTCCAGAATAAAGCAACAAAAGGAGGGAAGAAGGAAAAGGAGTGAAGAAAAGAGAAACATCAAAAATATTGGCTAACATATGTTTAATTATTTCTAAACACTTCCTAATTAAAATTTCTCAAGATTTTCTTACTGAAACTATTTGTCTTTCTGGAATTTTATATGAAAATAATAAAATATTAAAATAATTTACTGCAATCTTATTAAGAAGTAGATGCAATCACCAAGATATAAGGTGGCTATAATGAGACAGCAGTAGCTATGGTGCAGTGAATTTCCTCAGAGACCTCCTGAATGTGGATTCTGACCTAAGCTAATCTGGATCCTATGCTAACATTTGGCATGAATGATTCCATAGAGAGCATTCTCACATCTCCTCATATATATATATATTTTTTTCCTTTTCTTTTCTTTTCTTTTCTTTTCTTTTCTTTTTTTGGTACCAGGGATTGAACTCCAGTCCTTGCGCTTTCGAGGTAGGTGGCGGAACCTACTGAGCTAAATCCCCGGGCCCCTATATATTCTTCATCTTGATTATTCTTAAGAACATTTCTAAATTTCTAGAGACATGTGCTTTGCCTTCTGTTTTAAGAAGTATTTATTTCCTGCACACTGTGATATCTGCCAAACATTATTTTTATGTAAAATAATTTTCCTCCCAAATATCTTCTCTGCTCTCTTTTCCTGAGCCTCAGGCTCAGAGATTTGTATAGGGAAACCATGTCAGAGTATGAAAGAGTATGTTTCTTTTCGTCCTCAAAGGCTAGAAGAGCTCTGAGAAATCCAATCCCTGCCTGCCCTCTTCCTAACTAAGCCTCCTTCAAATCCCACCTGCTTATTTTAAACACAGGTCTGAGTAAATCTAAAACCACAGCCCTCAGGCAGAAGCCCCATAAGCACTGAATTGAAAAATCTGAAGAGGAAATGAAGATTTTGACTTTTTTGACACAGTATTTGGTCTTCTAGTTCATCACAAGAGCAAGACAATTTCTTCAGTATCTTAGTTTCTCTGTATTTGGGGACACAGCCACTGGAATTGGAATATTGTATAATGATGGTTAATATTTACTGAACAATGACTATGCCGTAAACACTAACAATAGGTTATCTCTCATTAGCTCTCATAAAACTAGGCATCTTAAGGGAGTCTTTAGCAGCAGGGGGAAAATGAATCACAGAAACCTGGTAATCAAGAGAGGCTCTTAAGAACACCTAAATTTTACATTTCAGATGAGGACCTGAAGGTCCTGTGTCCAGAGAGCACACATCCTTATTAATGGCAGGATGGGCCGAAGTGATAGTCTTCACTGTGTGAATCCCCACCACACAGCCCCTAACCAACCAAAGCTCAGAGGGAGCAGCCTGGACAAGGAACCAACTGGATATATATTTTGAAATTCAAGTAAATGATAAGTACACTTCTATCTTTTCTAAGTAACCTCAGATGTCACAAACCATTTAAATATTTAATGAAAGGCTCTCCTCTATCTAGTTTTGGTACTGCTTACTGATTGAATTCCCTTCTAATGACCTGACTTGGCTACCATTGAAAATATTTTTAATTTTTCTATCAATACATGTTTGAAATACATGAAATTTACTCTCATTTTAGGAAGTAAGTACATGTACTTTACATATCTTGATATTTTTTTATTCCTCTTCCCCTCACCATATACCTCCATCCTTCCCTGTCTCTAGATCCCCTTTCTTTGTTTTCATTATTATTGTTGTTGTTGTTGTTATTGTTTTAGTTCATTTTTCCAACATACAACGATTACATTCATTGTGGGTATTTGGTACATGTACTTGATGCATCTCAAGTCTTTTTACACCCTTTTCTTCCCCCCTCCTTATAACTTACTCTCTTGGATCCCTTCCCATTTATAAAAAAGATCTATCCTTTTATAAGTCTTTCATTTTGCTCTTTACTTGTACTTTTTTCCAGGATTTTGCAGGAAATCTACTTTGTACAAGCCACTGAACTGAAAACTCTATATAAAAGAGCTCATTTGATTTTATTACTCAGATGAGAGAAACACTATGGTATTTAAGTTTGTGTGTCTGATTTATTTCACCTAAGATTGTATTTTCCAAGTGAATTATTTTGCCTACAAGATCTTGAATGTATCTATCTTTATAGCTGAGTAGTATTCCATTATGTATAGATACCACATTTTCTTTATCCATTCATTTGTTGATGGACATATAGACTGCTTTCAAGATTTAGCTATTGTGAATTGTGCTGCTGTAAAAACTAATATGCATCACCAGGGATTTAGGTCAGTGGTGCTGCCACCTGTCTCTAAAGTGCAAGGTCCCAAGTTCTAAACCTGATACCAAAAAAAAAATAATAATATGCATCGATATCTTTTAATACAGTTCTGCCCAGGAAATCACCTGAATGATTGTCCTCCTTCTCAAGGATCAGAAACAGGGTCGAAGAAGTCTGCGGGACACTCACGTGATCTGGTCTGTGGAGCTCTGTGGTTAGACCTTGAAGAAGGAGAATAATGACCCCAATGCATTATCTGCCAGATATTCTTTGGGGTACTTTACATTTCTGATCTCATCTCAGACAGACACTGCCTAGACAAGGTTTCTTTCATGATCCTTCGTTTGAGCCTCAGAGGAGTAGAAGTAACTTGAACAAAGGACCCGGTTGGTAGTTTGCAGAACAGGTACTGGGAATCAGGTCTCCCTAAACTCAGAGACTAGGATTATTTTGTATCTGAGATGGCTCTCTCTGTGCAGGCCATGCAGATGATTCTCCAAAGATACCAAATTTATAAGTGGGGATGGACTGACCCCCCAAAAACCTGTACCCACTGCAGGAACAATTCCAAGACTGTATCTTAATGAGAGCACCTCTGTAGTACCACCTTTGTACTCCAGATCAACATAATATCATCAATAGATAGTATTTACAGGAAATCTACTTTGTACAAGCCACTGAGCTGACAACTCCATATAACAGACCTCATCTGATTTTATTATCACCCCTCATTTCATGTAAGGTTTAGTAACTTGCTCAAAGTCACAAGTAGAACCATAACTTGAACTCAAATCATTCAACTTCAGAATTTATATTTAATGACCGTACTCCTAACCACTATTCTTCACTGCCTCTCAATGAAGGAAGAGGAGGAGTGATGGGGAGGAGGAAGGAGGAGGAAAAAGAAAAATCAATGGGCATTGCTAGCTGAAAAGTGCCACCATGAGATGGCCAACCTCAGTGCTTTCTGGGTTTTTCTAATTCTAATTTCCAGTTCCTGTTTCCATTATCTGTGTGGGTGATAATAGCCTGAAGCACTGGTATTAATAAAACAGGTTCCCATTCCCTGAGCAATTTTAAAGGCTGGGATGAATTCTAGATAAGTGAAGGTAGGTTGAGCATTTTGAATCAGAAATGAATATATGAAACTGTTTGAGTTTATCATCAAAAGAGAGAAAGCAGGGGCTTTAAGAAGATGCATTTCATTTTTTCCCTCCAATCCTTCTCATGACCATGTGACATCATTAACTCTCTTTGGAAAAGGTACAGACACTTCAGTGAGACAGACCAAGAATCAAACCCTGGATCCACTTGGTCAGACAGACCAAGGATCCACTCCTGTCCAGCTGCGTGATCTGGGCCAGGTACCTTCATCTCTCTGAGCCTTAGCTCCTTGTGTGACGTGTCTCCTGTGCTTGGCACTGTGCCTAGCACCTGGTAAAGGATCAGATACATGCTCAGCAGGAAATAAAAACGAGTGTGTGGTTTCAGGTCTATCCGGGATTCCCTGATTTCCAGCATGTCTCCTCCAGTACTGTCTCCAAATCTTACAATGGCACTACATCTGTCTCTGCCACTCAGGTGGCTTTTCTTAGCCCACCCAATAGGAGAACATTTTGGCTCAGGGAAATCAATTCTGCAAGCCTACTGAGAGCTGCCATTCTCCAGCATGAGCTTTGCTAGGCCCCTGCTCCCCTTACCCCACCCTGAACACTCTCTTTTGAGTAATAAAATTCATTTCACAATCCCTATTCAGGTGGTCTGCAGGGAGACGGATAGGTTGAGATGGAAAAGGCGACAGCTCTGGTCTCAGGTTTGACTGGCTTCAGATCCCCCAGGGGTTCAATGCTCTTTAGATTTATAGGCCCATAACAGCAGGAAACTGCCTTCTGGCTGAGCCCAGTCCTGCCTCAGGGCCCAGGGGGCTCCTGCCTGATGCTGTTTGTGAGCCTCTTTAGTTCTCTAATACCATGTTCCCTAAATCTGTGGTATTAGAATGTGAGAAAGAGCAGAGGAGCGTGATTCATGCCCCAGTTACCCTGACAATGAAGTTCATGAAAATCAAATTTCTCCTAAGCATGCCAGCAACATCCCGGCTGGTGCCTGCCTTGGCTGTAGGGCTGGGTTTGTTTGGTTTCTACAATTTTTCTTTTTAATGTCATTATTTTTATTATTTTGCCTAATGTTTTTATAATGTGCTTACTGTGGAGGTTGCTGTGAGCATGCCAGTTCTCTAGGGACAGGGTAGGCCACACTAAACCCCAGAGACTGTTGTTTTGCACATCCCTTCAGCCACCAGAAGGAAGCATATGTTCCACGCTCTCCCCTTCCCCAGTCCTATTCTGACAAGGAACATTAAACATAGGATCACTAACTTTTTCAGTCCCCCTGAGATCAAAGCTCCAGTTAATAAATTCAACCAACTCTCCCCTTGTATCTACTTCCCATTCTTACAATCAAACTGCTCTGCTTGTTTCCATTATACTTTTTATTTTTATTCATCTGTGTTTGTTTGTTTGTTTATTCATTTTTGTGGTACTGGGGATTGAACCTAGGGGTCAAGATGGGGTCTTACTAACTCACTAAGTTTCTCAAGCAAAGCTCGAGCTTGTGATCCTCCTGCCTCAGTTTCCCAGAGTGCTGAGATTTTAGGCATATGCTACCATACCAGGCCATCATTCTTTTTATATTACGGTATTATCCTCTCCCCTATTTCTCTTTTAAATGTGGCATAGATAATAACATAATAAATGATAACACACCCATCTTATGGGATATTAAGCATTCATAAAATACTTTAGACCTCCACATATTAACCAGGAGAGGTGTCAATGATATATTTTTTAAGCAAAGAAAGTTCATGGGTAATGGTTTTTGCAGGATGTACTTTATGATAAACAAACATGCAATGCATGGGTGTATTGCATGGATGTACTTGTTTTGATACATTTGTACCAACATAAATAACAGTGTGTGTAGAAAGATGCCTACCAGACTGTTAACATAAGTTACCTGGTTTGGGGGATGTTGAAAAATACTGATTTTTAAAGAAATAACTACAATGTTCCATTAGCTGCAGTTAACCCTTGTTTCTTTCAAAATTTTGAAGAGAAATTTTATAATTTTCAGTCAACTGATCTATCAATCAGTAAGGGACATGTTTTTATTTTTATTTTAAATGTGATAGATTCTCAGATCCCTGCACGTGGAAATGGATCTGTGCAGGGCACAATAGGCTGGAGACTCTGCCTCTATTTGTGCAGCCTGAGTTGCACCCATTTTTGGTAGACTCCCTTGGTGCCTGTCATGCATGAAAGCACTCAGTAGTTTCTGTTAGATCTGGACAAACATGAGTCTCCTTCTCCCACTCTACATACTTTTGAAGCAGATTTTTGTTTATCCTGAATGCAAGACCTTAAGTTTCTCCTTACATTTTTTTCCTGTTAGTTTTGGATTTTTGTTCCAATTGTCAAGGTCTTTTGAAAATCTGCTCCTCTTATGTAGCCTATTAGCCATCCTGCCCAGCTTGATACCAACTGCAAATTTGATCATCAGTTCTTTAATGTCTTGATCTAAGTCCCTGATAAAAATGTTCAACAGGACACAGTCTTTACTTGCCCATTTTAGATAAATAAAGATAAATGTTTTTATTTGTCTTTCAGTGTGCTCTTTTTATTGTACAAAAGCCTCTTAATAAACAAAGAGGTTTGTACTGTGCAAATCAATAGCCATCACCATTAGCTGACTTAGTGATGATAACAATAAACACTAATCACAATCCCATTGAGCCAAGCCAGAAGCACAGCAACCTTAGTTAGAGCTATGGAGCATATGGCTCTGTCCACATCTGCTCTGAGGCAGCCAGATGGAAGTAGGAGGTGGGCTGGAAGTGGGGGCAGCAGACAGTGGGGGCAGGGGTGAGGGAAGAGGGAGCAGACAGGTGAAGACAGGGAGGGAGGGATTCGAGAACTAGCCTCTCAAATCAATCTCCATGATTGTGTAGTTAATGTGCAAACAGCAAGCAACAGCTGCTGATGGCGCTCATCCGTGACAGCACAACTGTATGACAAATACTTCCTGTCACACACAGAGAGCTGTGTACCCGGCTTTTTAGTTAATGGACTTTGACGTGCCTATTCAAATCATTTCTTCACAGACCTTACAAATCTTTGTCACAGATGTGTGGGAATATTTTCTTCTCTGGGTGGCTGTTTTTCAGTGTTGAAACTGAGCAAGTGACCTGGGCTGCCCTTGTCCTTTTCCTAACACTCCTGTACAGGCCTCCAGAAGTTGGCACACTCCTGGATCATACATCTCTCTATATAAAAGGAAAATTCACCCAACTGATAAAGGATGCAAATTCAGAGTTACGCGGAAGACGTCGAATCAGCCTGCTGCAGACAGGCAGGTCTGTGCACGCCCTACCGAGGTCCTGAGTCACGCTGAAGACACCGAATCACCCCACTGCAGACAGGCAGCCACCTGATTCCACATTACAAAGACCCAGAGGACACCAGACCACCAGGCCAAGGTACTGAGTCCCACTGTTCCCGGCCCAGAGGTAGGGGCTTCTGAGCCGCCATCCCACTGCTCCTGGTCCAGAGGAAGGGGCTTCCCGGGCACTATCCCTCCCACTGCTCCCAGCCCAGAGGAAAGGGCTTTTGGGAAACCTTCTGTCCCGCTGCTCCTGGCCCAGAGGAAGGGGCTTCTGGGCC